CTTTTTATTCAGATAGATAGTGATAAGACACTATCTTAAGGGGAAATGATTTTAAGCTCAAGGGGGAAGGTTTAGATTGGATGTCAGGGGGACGTTCTTCACACAGAAGTGCTGAAGTGCTGGAACAGCTGCCCGGAGAGGTTGTGGGTGCTCCATCCTTGGAGGTGTTCAAGGCCAGGTTGGATGGGGCCCTGGGCAGCCTGATCTAATATTAGTTATGGAGGTTAGTGGCCCTGCCTGTAGCAGAGGGGCTGGAATTTGATGATCCTTGGGGTTCCTTCCAACCTGAGCCAATTTATGATTCTATGATTAGCACTGGGGAAGCTCTTTCCTGGTGGAAAACCAGTGAGATCTCACAAACTGTAACGTTATCTTGTACTGGTTGTATTCAGCTCTTGCCTTGGCCAGGCCACCTCCAACTGTTTGATTTCTATGTGGAGGTAAATAGCCTTACTGTGGCTGTAAGGGAATGCTGAGATTTTCAGTGCAGTCTTTGATTTTTCAGACAGAAAAAAAAAATCCCCTAAAGGAAAAGTTTTGAATTCCTTGTCTCACCCCTTCCTGTTTCTCTTTATTGTCATCTGTGTACATGTATGTTTCAATCTTGAACAGCACATGAGGAAAGTAGTGAATTTTTTGGTAATGAAAGTCTCTTGTAGTCAATATTAATTAAAATAGCTGCACCAATCATATTATATCAAAGTACAATATTATTTTAAAACTGAAGCTTCTAATTGAAGTAAGATGAGTACTCAGCTCTTGCCAAGGAGAGGATTTCTCATTGTAATGTTTCTTGTGATGCTTCTGTGTTTTTGCATTGTGTGGTTTCGGGTTTTTGCATGTCTTATAGCAAAAAAAGTTAGGATTTTTCTATTCGTCTTCTCTTCCGTATTTACTTTTTTACAGCCTTTCTGCCCAGCATATATCCTTACATCTTCAAAGACTTCTCCTTTCTGCTTCCCAGAAGGAAGCAGCATGTCTTTGCCAAAGCCTTTTCCAGCACTGTTCCCCAGTGTCAGTATCTGCAGCAGTGCAAGGCTCAGGAAAAAATCTCCATCTGCCTGTCAGAGGCGGCTCCTTGTCTGTGTCTTCTCTCTTGTTCACACTCTTCCTACAGGTTGGTCAAACTACCTGGCTGATTTTTCTGTGGATCATGCTGAAATCTGAAGGAGTACTTTCTAGCAAAGCTGGAACTGTTTCTGCTACAAATGTCTCTTGTAAGGCAGGTAATGTGTGTCAGGGTGTAAGGCAGTTGTCTTGGGAGAACTGGTGCTCCAGCATAAAAGTAAGCACGCCTCTAGCAAGTGCATCAGAATTAATGAACATGGTCAGATGCCCACGAGGCTCCGACTCACTGCCCATAAAGTGCTCTTACGCAGTGGGCAAGTGAGAAAATGATGTACAGCCAAAGCCCTCGATGAGGGCGATCGTGTATGGTGACCTGCTTACAGAAGCATTCCGTTCTTGTGCTCCTTGAGGGACCTGCCTCCAAGGTGCGGCTCAAATGCTGACCCCCTCCTTCTCCTCCTCTTTTTGGCATCTTTTTGGGCGAAACAGTTACCTCAGCTCAGTCCCAAGAGAAAGCATTTTTCACAGGGCAGGTTTCCCCTGGGGAACATTCTTGCCTCTTGTATCATCGGGACATGCCCCTGCTCAGAGGGAAGGAGGAGCTCCTCCATGATTGAGCTATCTCATCCATCATGCTCCAAAATCCATTCCGGACCGGCCCATCCCTAATTAGGGCAGCACTCACCTGAAAAACCATTTGTACAGATGACTTCTGTGCTGTCCCCCTCACGAAGCACCCTGCTGCCCCAGGGCCACAGCAGAATCTGCCTACCACTGCCCTCTGAAGTGCTGGACTTGGTTGTGCCACACCATTCGTTTCATGGCATACTTATTGCACTTTTGGTGTCAGCATTCGCAAGGATCCTGGGCACTTTTCCCCCCCTCTAGGCCCCAGGAATTGCTGTGTTTACTTGGGAGACATATAATAATCTTTTTTTTCCCTACCGTAACAATTGAGCGAAATCCCCAGAAATGCTTGAGGCTGTCTAAATGCAACTGCTGGGCTGCAGATGTGTGGCATTTCTGCATTTTTTTAAATCAAGGTGAGAGCACAGCATGCCAGTGTATTCTCCCATGCTTCCCTTGCACTGCATGCTGTTTCTTGGAGTGCTCAAGCAAAGCCACAAGACGGGTTCAGAACCCTCCCTTGCTGAGTCAGAGCAGCCACCATCAGGAGCCTTGCCTGTGAGACATGGCCGCAGGCCCTGCTCACTCTCGCCAGTTGCACCAAAGCACTTTAGTGTTTATGGAACTGGGGCAGATGTGTGAGAGGGCCTACAGGTTCCCTGAGGGAACTGGCAGCAGCCACATCTCCCACAGGCAGGCAGGGAAATGTTTTTCCCCCCTCACATCAGAGGGCCTTAAGAAATGTGCTAGAAATGAATTAAATCATAGCATTAATTGGCTCTAAAGAAAAACTAACCCACCTTGTTAACACAAGATCTGCATGCAATTCCATTCACACCCGCTGTCTAAGGCCAGGAGAGGGACTGAAGAGATGCCTTTGAAAGGGCTCTCCAGATGTCTTTTCAGGGCTAAAGTGATCAGGACTGTGTCTTAATTTATTAAGAACTGCCAAAGATTCTCTTTTCCACATGTTAGCAGAAATGGAAAGCTACAGAGCAGAGGCAGGAGGACAGTCACATGGGTGTATGGACTTGTGAGTCACTGGGTCGAGCCTTGGACCAAAGAGATTTTGAATGGCTGGCAGGAAGGTGAGTAGGTAAAGGAGATTCAATCACTAAGATGGGACTATGAGGGAACACTGCCAGTACAGAGATGGGTGACTAATGGGGATAATCACAGCAGGATGTTATAGGCGCTGAAAGTAGCATTTGCTCAGCAGCTGCATGGAAATGGTAGTCAGTACGAGGTACCGGATCTCCTCAGGAATACCTTCCATAGCTTTCCTTAGTGAGATGAAAATTAAGGGGAGAAACTAGGTTACTCAAGGTGTTCTCTGCAGTAGAGAGAACTACTGCAACCAATCCTGTCTCTGGATTTTATTAACTGTACTGCTTCTCTTGTCCTAGCCCCATCACCCACCATTCTGACTTGCAGAATTCTTTGCAAAAGCTAATCAAAGGTACCTTTGCTATTTTTCCCCCCCTCGAGCAGAGGTTGGACCCTCATGCAAAGGGAAGAGTGGTGGTGCCCATAGAGAACATCATAACTGATTTAGCCTCTTGCTTCAGAAGGAGGTTTCTCTCTGACAGCAGTGGCCAACTACCACAGAGGAAAACAACACAAAAGGCTATTTCTAGTTATTACTTGTATCCAAAACACCGTTTCCTTTCAAAGTCTATTAAGCCTGAAGGGAGACATCTATGAACAGTTTGTGCTTCAGAGAGCCTGAATAGTCACAGCAAAGGGGTTATGAGTTAAACCATCACACTGGCAAGTGATTCCAGCAGTGACCCCTCCCTCCAAAACACTTCAGTACAAAGACAGCATTGCTGGCATGCAGCACAGTGAGTGCTCTATAGGTTTCGTATGAAGTCTCTTTTTACGGGTTGCAGAAAAGGTAATGGCAGCTGGATGATGTACAACTTTCTTCAACAACACTTGGCATGAAACAAAGGAGCCCATCAATATAATGTTTTCAATTTATTTATATAAACAATTGCATTTTTAAAAAAAAAAAAACATTCTTGTCCTATAAAAATAGTGTGAAAAACAATTCACAGAATTTTAAATAAATAATCTCAAACATACACATTTATCACTATCAACTTGAACCCAGCCAAACCCAGCAGGTTGGGTCACAGATAAACATGGCTTCAGAGTACAAAGTGTAGAGTGAACTGGATTCCTTTCCAAAGCAGCTTGTAAGAACAAGGCTGAAATGTTTTGTTTTTTTTTTTTTTTTTTTGTTTTTTTTTAAATGAATTCTTTTTTACCTACCTCAAAATAACTAGATCTGCCCAGACTTGTCTTCCTTTGATTTTAAGACATACTGTTTTCCTTGAGAATGTTAGTAGATACTCTAACACATTCCAAAGGTGGTCTGAATGATAGCTACATGCTTAATCAATAATTAAGTAGCTTTCACTAATTGAACACAGTACTGGCCCCTTTTTTTTTTGTTACAAGGTTATTGAATTTTCTTCCTTCTGTGCCTCAAATACAAAGAGCAAAAACACCCTTCTATCTCCCAAAGCATTTATACCACGGACCACCTCAAATCAGTCACTAGTACCAATTGCTGTAGGAGATCTGGAGTCAGCTATTTGTGCTACCAGTTACACTTAAAGTTTGCACTGTAGAACATGATCAGCATCTTTAAACAAATCAACAGAAATACAGAAGTCACAGTCAAACTATACTAGTACCACAGTCATTACAACACAAGCCTCTACAAGCATTCAAGAGATTCAGGTGGAAATATAAAACAAGTCCTTTTCCACAAGTAGCCAAGGAATTTTGGCTGGGGGCATAGAATACCAGGTTGCTGCTCTACTCCAGTCTGAAGTAACATTCTTTTTATCTACAGTTCCCCAGCTGATTTTATGGGAAGATCATCTTCTACATTTCTTCTCTAGAAATTAAAAAAAGATACCCTTATATGCAAAGGTTGAAGTGCTGGTACAAGATCCCACGTAAGTTCTTATGTGCCCCAATGAGACTAGATACTTCAATGCTGGACCAGGACAAATGTGTCTGGGACATTTTGTGCTTAGCTAGCTATTATTTTTTTCTTCTTAGAGCTCAGGCCACTCCTTTAAAATGCCTCTGTTTATACTTCAATAAATAAAACATTAACATCCCCCCTCCAACCAAATAAACAATTTATAGTGATGAGTTAGAGCTCTATTTATGTAGACTTAGATTAACAAAGCCTTGGTGCCTTGAAGTTTAGGTCACTCAGTGCTACTTATGTTTATATAATATCCCAATTTTATTTATTTATTTATTTATTTTTTCCCCCTCTCTCTATTTTCTAAATTATTCCCCAATAATTTCCATTTGGCTACACAAACCTATATTATACTCATGTCCTTAAGGACAAAAGGATTGTATAGTTTTATCTAAAATAACAGATTTATACCATCCAGAGAATTTATATTGACCAGACAGTTACAGCTACAAAAACAAAAACAACCCCACACTAATAGACTTTGGATTAAGTTTAAGATCTCCCCAAACTCACAAAGTAAAATGTCTACTGATATACAAGCAGCCTTGTTTTCCTGCTTGACAGTCGTGTCTAAGCTCAGTACCTCTGTTAACATCATCTCACATAATACTTCTGCGACACATGCTTCAAAAACAAGTAGGATTTCAGACAAGTTCTCTTATTTTTAAATAATTAAATTAATAATTAAATTAAAAATGATGAAAAAGTATAATGCCACACAAAAGGACAGACTTACAAAAAAAAAAAAAACTATCATGTAAATTACTATACAAAGTGCCTTATTTGCATGAGGGAGAGGTAGTATCATTGACAAACGCAATGCATTTTGACTTTAAATAAGCAAGTCTCAAACATATTTGTTAATCTTGGAGTGCTCATACGGAATTCAGAATCTTTTTTAGCAGTTTCATTAAATCATGCTCTCATTTTTAGTCTGAAAGTCTGTTTTCAAGTTCAAAAAATTGCTGAGGCAATAACTTGCTTTTTGTAGTGTTACGTGACCTATCAAAGTGAGAAGACAATCCTAACACCCTTAGTCAAGTATTAAAACAAGTTTAAAAAAAAAAAAAAAAAAAAAAAAAAAAAAAAAAAAAAAAAAAAAAAAAAAAAAAGCTGGAACTTGGTCCATTTTGGAATACGTAGTTCTGCTACAGAAGGCTTTTAACAAGGGATTTGCTACTACAGAGCTGAAACACAGAAAATCCCTTTTTCTAAAATGAAGCCTTACCTGAGTAAGGAATCTAGGGCAACCCTCAAAGTGAAGATGCAAAAGGTTGCTTTTTGTTTTCTAAATACTAGAGCTATAAATAGAATAACTTAGATAAATAAATAAATTAGATGGCTAATTTACAACTCAGCAGATCGCTCTTTCAGTAGTAGTGTGGGGTTGATATCTTCCATTGCTGTGTTTGAGGTACTAACATTAATAGTTGCCTCTGTGGGTTCAGGATTTAAGACATGGAAAGCAGTGAAAGGACAGCCTTTCACATTGTTGCAGATGAGCTTCTGTAAGGAGGCAGTATTGATTATTTCAAACCCCACTTTTCCACCAAAGGTACTTGGCTTCCAGTACTCAGGGGAGCATATTGTATTTCCCATCAGTCCTTTCAGAGAGAACGGTGCGCCAATTTCTACCATTGTTTCACCAAAGATGGCACCTGGTCTTGGCTTTTCTACAAGAAGGCCTGGATACAGTTCCATAGCATCTATGTCTCCGTAAAGCTCTTCTAGTTCAGCAGCCATTTCTTTTTCTCCTGTAATTATTAATGAATAAGAACAGTAAGTGGAAAGTCCTGTTTCAACAACAACAATATCCTGCTGAAGTTCAGAAATAGCATCACAGGTTTCTATTACCCACTTTAAGGAAAAATTGAACTTGTTTATAAGGAAAGATTAAAAACTGTTACCTGTAAGTTCTTCAAATGATTTGAATGGTTTCAACATGAAGCGTTTCCTGTACTCATTCAAGGACTGGTATCTCATTTCTCTGCTTTGGTCAATTGAAGCCTTTGCTACTTTTTGTACTGCAGCTGGAATATTTTTCCCACCAGCAACCTATTTGACAGAAACAAAAAAAGTAGTAAGAACTCCACATGAAAGTTGAGAAAGTTGTATCTTTGTATTATTAGTTCTGGATAGATTTATTGAACTGCTGCTCAACCCACAAGTTGATGTTTCCATACTAGTAACTTGAGGAAAATACCTACCCTGCCAGCACTTTGCTTGGAGAAAGATTTCACCATATGGGAAAGGCCATGTTCCAGCATTATGGAGTTGTTGTAGAGGAACTGCTGGAAAGTGTACTCCTGGTCACGTATCTGAAAAGTGTCAGGCAGCAGTGGGTGCCAGTGGTACAGAGTATTGAATTCAGCTGCAATTCGGTTCTGGTATTGAAAACGCTGGTTGAACAGAAGCTCAGGATCAAACTTCAGTTTGAAGTGGTAGCCACTCAAGTGCTGCACGTAATCTTCAATAACTATCTTGATCGTTTCTCCTGTTGGAGAATAAAAAGGATACAAAAAAAAAAAAAAAAAAAAAAAGTCAATATTGCTTCCCCTAAGAATTACCAGGCAGTTACCCTGCTCTGAGGGCATATTTCTAAGCTTCTCTAGGGAACAAACGCACAGAAAACCTTCAAAACTATAGAAATCAAGAATAATACACTCATTAGCATTCTGTACATGAGGAAGTATTACTTTTCAGAAAGGGTGGTCAGGCAGTGGAATGGACTGTCCAGGGAGGTGGTGGAATCACCGACCCTGGGGGTGTTCAAGGAAAGACTAGATGTTGTGTTGAGGGACATGGTTTAGTAGGAGCTATTGGGAATAGGTGAACTGTTGGACTGGGTGATCTTTTAGGTCTTTTCCAACCTTGGTGATTCTATGATTCTATTATGGAATGGATATTTATATTTTGGGAGATAAGTTTTCCCCCCTCTACCACCTCCACAGCTTGCACCACTTTGCTTATCCTCTCCCAAACTATACTTCCTTTCGTTTTCTACAAAACCTGTAGAAAATCATTAATTACTGTCTACATTGCATTTGATTGTATAATACTATCTGGGATAGAGGTAGGAGGAAAAGGAAGTCAGCATCTCAAGGCAGTCTCTCAGCTTCTGAACTGATTAATGTAATTGCTTTCTGTTGGTTTACTGTTTCATTCGCTATTTGGGCACAGACTTTTTCAACTGTGTGTATCAACATTAACAAGATGTAATACCATTTAACAGAAAGTAAGACATAAGAAACATACAGTTTTATTCTATGCTGCTTTTCTGACTTAACTATAGCCCATCTCAAAGCATACTTGGTTTCACCCAGTCCCAGAAGAAATTGTCATAGTTGGAGAGCAACTGAGGTCACCTAACCTCACAGGCTTTTTCTCTGAGAAAACTAACCTTAGCTTCTGCCTTTTCAGTTCTGCTTCCCTTAGATAAAAAGAAGTGTCTATCACTTGACTCCATTTTCTTCATTTTGGTATTTAACATGGGCAGGAGGAAGCTGTATTTTACAGCTTCAGTATTATACAGTTTCAGTAGGGGTCATGAAGGTCAATTTATTTCCTCACATTTTTCTTCTTATTAAATTTACTGCAGCTGCCATAGGAAATGGGCAGAAGTGTCAACCTCAAGAGAATATTAAGAGTTTTACATGCAAAAATAACACACCTATCAATATGAGTCTTGTAGTCTGAAATAGCTGCTCATCATCCCACTCTGGATGCTCCTGTTTCAAGATATCACAGACTCTGTTGTGTTCTCTTAGCCATATTGTTGCATACATCATTAGGCCTGGGACCAAGCCAAACACCTCCTGTCCAACAGAAAACTGCAGGTGCTCAGGAACATGAGGAGGGTAGATCATCTCTGCTTGAGTGTCCTTTACTGTTGGTGGATACATTTCTCCATCAATCATCTGCCAGGGAGGGGGCACAGGAAAAAGAACAAGAGCATTATTAGCTAAGATGCTTATACGTTACACCACATTGACTCCATTAATGCCAACTTCAGGTGAGCTCTGCTGCAAACAGAGCAGTAATTTTAAGAAACATGTCAGTCAATAAAGAGGTGGCAGTTGAGATAAGATGTACCTGGTACTTTAGTTTTCCATCCTTGTGAAGTCTCAATTTAAGTTGCCTCTCCAGAGTCTCTCCATAAATGTGGTTCAAGTCAACCTGTAAAATAAGAGCATTAAGAACATGAAAAGAACGTTAAAACAAGCCACATTTTTTGCTATTTTAGGACAGGTCCTATTTCTAATAGATGATCTGGCATCCACAGATGTTTACCTTTTGATTACAGTATTGTTACCTTATAAGTATCACACACTGATATTTAAGATGAAGCCAAATTATTTCCTGGCAACTGCAGCAATCTCTGCATTAAGTTTTTAAATCACACTGGCAATTTAAGAGGACTCTGTTTAGAGTGTCAATGGAATTTATTAAGCAGACAGCTCTTTATATATACACAAAGATGTTACAGATTTCTGCTTTAGACACGCAAACTATATTTATATTGAGAATTTCTTCATCCCAAAACCATTTTTCTCATAGATAAATATCTTAAAATCCAAATTTGCTTTTGCTTTTCAAGTTCTTTTAAATCTGTCTAATTAGCAGCACAAAATAAAATACTGTATAAAGCATCTCTGCAACTGATGGAAAGAGTCCGGAGTAGTTCTAAAAACACTCATTACATCTAGCACACTTTAGGTAAAAGCAGATTCTTTGAAGAATTCACAGTCCTCACTGTACAGAGATCTTAAGCAGAATTATGTGCTTGGCACAAACAGTTCTGACCTAAGAGATGCTACTGAGTAGCTGGAATTTTGCCTAACGATAAGCCACGTAAGGGGTAAAGCCAACAGTTTGTTGCTGTGTTGCACAGTACAGTCACTAGTGTTTGCATATTCTAACTGCTTGGTTGCTCCTAAGAGCTTAGTGCCGCATTCAAGTTCCAGAGATATGATCTTACCCCATGGCCATAAGCTTTAGTGAAGCCAGGTCCTTTCTTATGGTCTGTCTTAAAGAACTGATGAGTGAAGTGCTGGGCAAAGAATGTGAACATCACATTTGTGCCTTGTGGGTCAGGAATAAATTTTCTCCGCAGCAAGAATTTCTCCACAATCAGTTTTGAATCTGGGAGCTCCTTCTTACCTAGAAGAAAAGTTTCCTTATAGCAAGATATTCACAACAATTATGCTTCATACTTATTTTTGCTCCTAACAACCAAACAGGTTTCCCATTTTCAACTCTTTTACAAAGGACAGCAGCTTACTAACAAGGGGAACTATCTCCTTTTTGTTGGTTGTAGTCATAGGTTTTCCACACTTTTTTGAATTTATTAAAGCTTTCTAATTCCTGGTTTTAGAACACAGTTCAATAATGAGTGCCAGAATGGTTATCTTTTAGGTCATTACACAATATAACTCATTCATTGCCACTCTCAAAGTCAACAGTGCATTAGGGTGGTTGCAGACAATCAGATCTGTTGGTGTTTTCTAGGACAACAAGATAAATGACATTCCTAGAAATGAACACTGTGCATCCTTATTCCTTACCTTTAACACCCATCGGTGTTGGACAGTCATGTCCTACTGGTGGAAGGCTTCTTGTGTAATAGGAAAGATTGGAATAAGCTTCCCAGGATTTGTAATTATAGTCACTGTTGTATGTTGGTGGGCTGTCAATCAAGTGTGATCTTGCTGGAAGAGGAGAAGGAGAGAAAAAAAAAAAAAAAAAAAAAAAAAAAAAAAAAAAAAAAGTACTTCTTAGGCTCCACTTTGATATATGCCAAATAAAAGAAGTCACAGTGCTACATTGTTTCCATGTATTTTTGGCAGCGGTTGCATTCATAAATTCCACACATATAATTGCATTTGACTCCAGTAACTTGTGGCTAATAGATAATAGGAACTGATCCTTTACCAGTTGGATCCAGCTACTAAATTTATAACAAATGGTTCAGGTTGTGTTAGCAAAATTTGAGATTTTATTTGAGGAAAAAAAAAAAACAAACCCCATGTCTGAAAGCCTATTTCACACCAAGCGTGAATATGCTTATAGATCTTAAGTTTTCTTTAAAGTGCTTTTACCATAACACATTTTCCTCTTGCTATTTTATCAATAAACTAATCAAATAAAGTATTTGGAGCCCAACGTATAGCTCCTGTCGGGAGTACTGGAAGAGTGAATGTATACTTACACGTCAACACGTATCTCATAATAGTATCTCGTAAGAAGGAAACATTGTTGATGATGTTCCAGACTCCTTTGAAGTGGGTGAGAATGTAGTGGACAGTATTTGGTGTAGGTTTCAATGTTAGTCTCAGCCATGTGAAGAATTCCGCTGTGAGCAAAGATGGAAAGACTGTAAGTTGCTATTCAGAATAACCTGCAATTCTGTAATTGAGTTCTCAGACTCCATTTCCGCACAGAGATCAGAGGTACTTACGTGTTGTACAGTTTTCCCCATAATAGCCTGTCCTCGTGCAGTCGCATTCATACCGATCAAATCCTGTTGTCATACACACACCTCTGTTCTGACACGGGAGGGAGCAGCAAGGGTTGGCTGGAATGAAATCAAACGCCGCAGTTAAAAGAGCGCCTTTTCTACTGGATCAGCACCGCAGGGTGGGCAGCAGAACGAGTTCCACTCGCACGAGATTTCGGGCATCTCCCGGCAACATCAGTGACACAAGTATGGAAGCGCACTGCTTGCGGGCTGCGACGAACCAGTTCTGAACACTGGCTTAGCGGGGGGTCCGACAGCCCTCCTGCCAACGCTAACTTCAGAGTCACGAAGCACGTAAAACAGAAGTCCTACGCTCCAGCCACGAGCACTGCCTCGGCCCGGCCCGCCGCCGCCCATCCGAGAGCCCGCAGCACCGTGGCCCGCAGCACCGGGATGCAGAGCCGGAACCCGTCGGGGCCAGACGCCCACCGCACCCCACACTCACCTGCGTGGCCAGCAGCCAGGAGAGCAGCCAGCAGCGCACAAGGCAGGAGCATATCCCGGCGGGCTTCTTTACGCTTTCCTCGCAGCTACTGAAATCCCAAGGACGCTCGAAATCGCACAGATCGTACTGCAGCCAGGTACTCACCCTCATTTATACATCCCGCCGTGAGTCACCTCCCCCCCCCCGGCCCGGAAACTAACGAAAGGGGTGGGGGATTTCGCGTGCCTTGCTCCGCCCCGCTCCACCCCCCGCTCCCACCTGCTGTGGGCCGCCCCCGGGCGCGGGCCGTGCCTCGTTCCTCTCGGTTCGGTCTGGCGCGGTCCTGGCGCCACGTGAGGGGGCGCTGAGGGAGTGCGCTGGGCTTGGGGCAGGGGAGCGCAGCACCGCGAGGCACCGTGCAGCGTAGTGGGGCAGCCGCGGGGTGCCACTGAGCGCCACTGAGCGCAGTGGGCGCGCGGAGCGGGCAGCCCGCGGCATCGTGTGTGCCGGGCTCCTTCCGCCGGACGCTGCTGACCCCCCGCTGACCCAGCCTTGGTTGGATCGTGGCTCATTCGCTTTTAGTGAGGTCATCTCGGCAGTTTCATTTAGTGAAGCGCGTTTCCTCACGCGCGGAGCAGAGCCCGTCGCACAGCGTGGTGCCGCAGACGGATGCTGCGGGGTGAGATGGGTGTTTGGGGCATACTTGGTTTAACTTCTGCACATTTGCCAATCCCGTTATTAGGAGTTTTACCTCCATACGAGTAGTACTGCTTTTTTTCTTGCCTTTGCCTTAAAGTGCCCCCGTTGCTCTGAGCACAGTCACGTTGTAAACAAAATCTTAGCTCATTTCCTCCTAGCAGCACGCAGACGGGATGCTTTTTGTCACAGATTTCTAACCGGCACACGTTACCTCTATTTTTACTCTTTGTTGCGCACGGAAGGTTACGAAACAACAGGACGTTGCTGAGTTGTGTAAGGGCCGCGCGGTGCTGGGCCGTGGTTTAAGGGCCGCGCTGTGCCTCCCCCACTGCCTGCCCTCTCCGAGCCATGGTCGGGTCTGTAACGACGCCTCGAGATTTGAGGTGATGGTGTTTACATTGCAAATTGTTGCCTTGAAAAGGGATTTAGTCCGATTTAAACAAAATCTTATTTTTGGCTCTGAAGAAACATGCTTTGGCTGAGTGAATAATTTGTGCGCATTGGTAATTGGTCATCAAGACTTTTCAGAGAGCGGTGCACAAAGGTCTGTCATTGCATGATTCTTCTGCAATAGCACAAGACACATCTTCTGATTTTATGCTCACACACAGAGAGATATGTGTAGGTGTCAGTGTCCCTACAAAGCACTACTAGCCTCAGCCGCACATATGGAGCACAACATGGTGTCAGGAGCCTGTCCCTGCACGCACTGCTGCTTGCTGTGCCTTTCTGCAGGTTGTTCAGCCCTCCCTGGTGTGAAACATGGAGCCTGGCTCCTGCGTTATGAGCTCAACGTCTGGTCGTGAAACACAAGTGGTGTTAGAGTCATAGAATCACAAGGTTGGAAAGGACTACGAGGTCATTGAGTCCAACCATCCTCCCATCACTACTGCTACCACAAACACTAAACCACATCTCACAGCTCCTCATCCAGACGCCTATTGAACACTGCCAGGGACAGCGACTCAACCACCTCCCTGGGCAGCCATTCCAGTGCCTGACCATTCTCTGAGAGAAAAAGTTTTTCCTCATGTCCAACCTAAACCTTCTCTGGTAAGACTTGTGGCCATTTCCTCGGGTCCTGTTGCCTGAGAGAAGAGGCCAAACCCCTCCTCATCACAACCTCCCTTCAGGAAGCTGTAGAGTGTAGTGTTCCATGGGACAGGGTATAGAGAGGAACATCCCCTACACACAGCACCATGGATCGAGGTCTAGCCTTACAAGTTTTGCATTTTCATTTCACACCTTTCCTATTTCGTCTCTTAAAGTGGTGATGGATGTTGTTGGGCACTAAGACTGAAAACATCAGACAAGCGAGGTTTTACTTTTTAATTGTGTGGGAATTGGTAAATGCAGACAGTATTTCTGAGATGTAAAAGCAACAGTGATAAAGGGAAAACTGAATGAGTTGCGTAGTAGAGAATTATCTTTGAAATGATTAAACCTTGCTTGGGTACCATGTAGATATGGGAAATGTATTAGTAAAGGTTTTTCATTACAAAAACAAATGCTATACACCTTGAGCAAAACAGCAGAACTTTTCTGCTGAGAGTGAGGGGATGCTGCTGCTGGCACCACGGCTGTACTGGCTCCAGGCAGGGTGTGTGGTGAAATGTGAGCTCTCTTCAGTCTGCTTTATGCTGGGAAGGGGCATTTGTGCAGTGAATGGCTGTGCTGGAGCTGGAGGCATCCAGCGCCTGCTCTGGCAGGTTGAAGCAGGGTGATAGAAAATCAGGGAGATGGGGTATGGTTGTTGTTCCAAAGGGTGCCCTTCACCATCACGTGTTGTTTTGAAATTGCTTGTAATCAAGATCTGATCATATTCTTGAATGAGATTTTTTCTTATAAATAAATTATTTTTGCTGTGGCAGCATTCAGCACCAGGTGTAGAGTCTTTGCATCAACTAACAAATTCATTATTTATTTAACATATAAAGTGTCTATGAAAAAAATCACCATTATTTTTCTTCTCCAGTGATCATTTCAGATATCCTTTGCTCTAGATGAAGCAGTGTGTGGAATGGAGTAGCTTTCTCTACCTGAGCAGTTTCACTTTGACTGAAATTTCTGAAGCTGGTGATTCCCATATGTTTCCCTTATGTCCTGTTTCTGTTCCAGGTAGTTCTGTCTAGAGCATCTGCTGAATTCACAGTTCTTTACTGAGGCCAGTTTGCTACCTCCTGATGGCTGAGTTTCAGGAAATCACTAGGAGAAAATTCAGCAATCTGGCATGCCTCAGTAATGCCCCTGAGGGACACAATGGACATCCTTATCCTTCTGCATTACCCACCACGTGCACCCAGGTCTCTGAGAAAAAGCAGTCCCACAGATAGGCTTGTCTTTGCCCGAAACCCTGAAAACCTAGGCAAATTGTGTTGTTCTGATAAGAATGATGATGTTTCTGAGATGTTCGTGGCATGTTTGTGGTGGTGAGATGAAGGTTTTGCAAAGTGGGAATGTTTGTCCATCATTCGTCTTCTTTGCAAGGTGTGTACAATTTTTAAGCATAGCTTTCAAAGCCACAATATTTATTTATTTATTTATTTATTTATTTATTTATTTATTTATTTATTTTAACAAATGCAGTTTTTCTTTTCCTGACTGTCTTCATTCGTTCATTTTATCTGTAGGCATGGCTTGGAGGGAAAAATTAGGAAAAGCTTCATTTATCATTGGGAATGTTTGTATCCCTGAAGTTAAATTTGCCTCTGCCACTCTGATGTTTGTTAACAACACATGGAAATTAAGTTATAGTTCTATATACATAGTGGATATAAAGTAACATAGATTTTCCCCCATATTAGTAGGCAGAACCCCACCAGGCCTGTTTATGGCAGCTCTGCTTAAAGAAGCAGTAAGCGTCTGAATCACAGAATATCCTAGATTGGAAGGGACCCATAGACATAACTGAATCCAACTCTGGCTCCACACAGGACTACCCAAAATCTGAACCCTATGTGTGAGAATGTTGTTTTAATGCCCCCTGAGCTCCACAGCTTTGGGCTGTGCCCACTGCCCTGGGCAGCCTGCTAAGTGCCCAACCACTGGTACAGAATCTTTCCCTAACCCCCACAAGCCCCTTCCCGACTGCTCCATGCCATTCCTCCAGGCCCTGCTGCTGTCACAGAGAGCAGGGTTCAGAGCAACTCTTCTGCTCCCCATCATGGGAAAGCCATAGGCCAACATGGGGCCTCCTCTCAGCCTCTCTGGGTTGAACAAACCATGGGACCTCAGCCACGCCTCACATCTCTTCCCCTCCAGACCCTTTATCATCTTTGTAGCCCTCCTTTGAACACACTCAAACAGTTCTATTCGTTTTTGTACTGTGCCCACAGCTGCATGCAGTATGCAAAGCTGCACCGGTGTAGTACAGGGTGGGACAGTCACTTCCCTTGGCCAGTTCGCAACGCTGGAGTGCTTGATGCACTCCAGGATACAGTTGGCCTTCCTGGCTGCATGGACACAATGTTGATTCATGTTCAATTTGCTGTCCAGCAAGATCCCCCCAGGTCCCTTTCACTGAGGCTGCTGTCCAGCGTCTCCCTCCCCAGTACAGATAAGCAGGAAATGCAGAAGGGTTCACTGAATGTTACTGCCCCCTTCTGCTGGATGGTTTTTTTCTTCTGCATGTCATGATAAATGATGGTATTCATATGTTGTGGGTTTTTTTGCCATTTAGATGGCACTTTATTTTCAAGGTGAGCTCTAATAAGTCAGTCACTTATGAAGCAAGCCACACAGTGTTCTGTTTAGTAACTGAACTCCATAAGATGAAGTTGTCAATAGATTCTTAAACAAAAGGCAGACAAAAATATATATGTACATATTAATTTAAAGTAACTTAACTAAAAAGAGAAGTGGAGAACATAAGATATTGCCACTTAATGATCACAAATCACCTTTCTTACTTGGTTTAAGAATCAAGTATTAAGAATGCCTTTTTCCTTTTCTTGTTTTCTACCTGCCCTCTCCTTCCATATGGTGAAGAAGTTAAGCTTTATAAGGAGAAGGTGTGAGTTTATTCTTATTTTGCATCATATAGGGTGAAAATGACAAAAGCCTCTAAGTTACAGACCTATTAAACTTTTAATTGTAGTGAGTGGAAGGATCTTGTACATCTAAAAGAATCCCTGGGAAAATTGCTTTTGGAGGTAAAAAAAAATACTCCAAAACCTGATTCTTTTCATTGAGCAGTATGCTGTTGAGTAGAAGTAAAATAGAGTGTGAGAAACTGTGATTTAGACCTCTGCCATGTTCACCTGTGTAGTGGGTCTTCTTGTTGCTCCAAAATATGATGGGTAGCAGAAAGGCTCTTTTCTGTTGGGAATGTTCTGGAGAGGGAGCTTCAATCTCCAAGGACTGCGTGTATTTCCCAGCGAGTTGCTGGTGCAGTGTGCTGGTCAGCTCCTTTAATTAACTGATTGTGTTTTTATAAACGA